GACGATGGTTCTCTACAACGACGAATATATAGAAAACCAACGTGGACGGGACAATACACCCACTTTTACAGCTTCGTCCCACTCAGACAGAAAAGAAATTTAATTCAGAGTCTCACATCACGAGCGCGAAAGATCTGCTCTGACAATGTGATAGATGAGGAACTAACAAAAATTAAGGACGTCCTCAGAGAAAATGGTTATCCTGAACGGTTCATTGAGAGAAACTTCCAGGAAAGGCGACAATCCGAACAAGTTCATGAGGCCCAAAAGAAAGAGCTATTCATTCGTCTACCTTTTCAAGGAGATGCTATATCAGACCTCCTGAACAAACGTCTAACGCGCACAGTGAAACGGACCTACAACGCAGCTCGTTTATCGTGTGTGTTCACAGGCTCGCCCATCATCCGAACTAGCCACAAAGATAGACTGCCTACGCTGGCCACTTCCATGGTTATCTACTCTTTCCGGTGCGTTTGTAATGCAACGTACATTGGCCGCACGGCGAGGCAACTATCCCAACGGATGAAGGAGCACTGCCCACGGTGGTTAAAACAAGGAGGAACAGGAAGCATAGGAAGTGCCATTCTTGGTCATCTAGTAGATACAGGTCATCAAATTAGACCGGAATCGGCTTTCAACGTAATCTATCGTGTGCCTCACAACCCCTCCAAAGCAGTGCGCTTACATACACTGGCCACCGCTGAGGCGATAGGCATTCGCCTATTCGCACCAGAACTATGTGCACAAAAGCGACTGGTTCAAGCTCTCCACTTACCCTGGCCCCAAATTGATCATCAACATCACCATCACCACCACCACTCCAATCACAATCAGTCTCACCCGAACACAGACACATAGAGCTTACCTCTCCCCTCTCCTCTCCTCATCCCAAATGACCCTTTGACCCAGCGTGAAAATGTGTCCCCACTAAAGACAAACCCTTATATGATCTGTACAGGCACGATTATGAATCATTCGAAAACAATTGTTCGCCTTCGGACTTGTGTTCTGATGTTACAATGGGATTATTTCGGAATCTTCCAATATGCTGATGATGAACAAGATAAAGCATGAAATTATAAGTTATTTTGTTTTTCAGCGCATTTCCCCCATCATACTGTACTGTTTCCATGATTTTCCTTAACCTACATAAAACGGATTCCACCATCCTGCGCCGTTTGGTGAGCAGCGTTTCCCTTGTTTCCATAAGCATCCTGAACACAAAATTGTGAGAATTTTTCCATACCGACCTCAGCCATCCGCGCAATCCCGATCTATCGGCCTGTCATTCACAGCGCACAACTCGACCTGATTTTCAGTTCTTATCGTTCCGTAAAACCATTTGTCGTAATTCAACAGTACCCTATTTGGCTCGCATTCTAAGTGGGAAGAAGATCCAACACGGACTGAATATAAATCCACATAAATGATTCTCTTCCCACTTGCGTTTCATCACGACTGTCTATGACACATTGTTATCCCAGAGAAAAGATGAATATATTTCCTGACTAAAACGAAGGCACAAAATCGTGTAATACAGCATTTCATGTTCTAAAGGATCACAAGGATATTACGAAACATCTCAAATGCGAAAAGTGGAGAGCGAGAAACTTTCTTCCACTACACAAGTAAACGAAAAAAGATGCAATTAAGCACTAACCTGAATGTGCCGCCAAATCCAGACCAAGTAACAAAAGAAGACGAAGAGCGTCAACTGCTTGATCAGAGTCGCTCAGCATATTATAATTATCGTTCTCGTCAGATGGATTCACCTGAACAGATCGCCGCAGAAGAAATCGGACAGGCGGCACAACACCAGCATCTTCCACAAACGTCGACGCGTGTGGAGAAGAGTAGATCAGAGTTTGGATCAAACTGCTTAATTGTAATCGCATTGTGAGTGTTTCCGAACTTTGTTCGACGGTATACAGCGTCTTGGACAGTGTTCTAAGACCGCGTAACACGAGCTTCACCATAACCACAAGCCAAGTCAGAATTTGTCCCGTTAGGTGACATTCGGTTCCATCTTCGTGCAGTGTGAAAAGCACTGGGTTGTGAATGAGAACTGTTTCCGCTGTTTTGAGCACGGCCTGAGAAGAGATAGTGCAATGGAGTCCAAATTCACTTCTGGAATGGCGTATAGAATTAGAGGGAATTTAATTATCAACTGAGAGAGCATCATGTCCATGAAAAGTTAACCAAAAATGCCATAAACGCGCATACTGATGATTACAACATAAAACAGGAATAAGAAGAACACATAGAAAAGTGTGTAACTTAAGTCCGTTTCAAAATACAAAGGTATATATAGCAGTTTATCAATAGATATATTTCAAATACAAACAGAACAGGCTGTTTATTGGTCGGAACGCAGCAAAACTCTGATCTTTTTATTACACATAATTTTGTGATGAATAAACAATTTACTTTTCACTCATGGTTCTTTCACTGAAAATATATCCGAAATCTAGCAGTTTTCCAAAAAAAGCTGGTCTTGATGATAGCACATCCCCCAGCGGTTGAACTGTATGTTTAGCTTTGCCCACTTCCTATTTCCAATGGATTCCGCTTCTGTTTCTGCAAAGACAGCCCAAAACACTACACTGGAAAAACTACAAGAAAGCTATTAACGATGATCCGTAGATATCAACTGGAATTCAGAAGACATGACCCACTCTCACTGACTTCCGTTCACGACGATCAAGAACATCAATTCAACTTCGAATTAGTGAGTACCATCGACCAAGCCCGATTAAAACATGCCAGAGAAGTTCTCCAGGCTTAGCACTCTAGCTAACTCGATGGTAGCCCGGTGGTAACTTCGCCAAATCATCTCCCCGGAGGACGTGTGTTCGAATCCTACCACCACCACCACCGCCTGACTTTAAACCTCAAATGATATGCGGCAGCCCTATGATTGGCCACTTTCTTCTTCCAGGAAATTTTATTATTACGCACTCAACAAAATAAAGTACAAAACAAACAGAAAAACCGGATAGGTCGAACTGGATTCCGTGTACACGCCACTGCAACTGAAGGATCAGATGGCGCGACAAAAGGTCACGTTGTGACCAGAGAACGGACTAAAGACCGCAATCCAGACGGAAGAGCAACCAACCCCCTCTCGATTCGCGCTAATTGGGCGACAAATCATGTTGAATCCAGCGAGAAAAAGGGACAAGAATAGGAACAGAAGAAACACTCCGGGACAAAAATATGGCACTCATCCCTAGACTTTTCAATTAACTCCACTCTCATACGCACGATCAGCACCATTCTGGAAGTCTATGTGGCAACTGAATGAAAAGCTGAAATATGAAATTTCATCAAATTATACCTAAATTTAACTACAAAGTCCAAAAGAACTTTACCGCAGCAAAAGTAGTGCACCCCTCATGGGCCTTACCCATTAAAGCCACTTTATTGCTCTGTATACGATTTCGAATTGAAAATGCCTCTAAATCATGTTTTGTTGTTTAAACTCTGGAGTTTTGGAACACCTTCGAGTAAGAGTAGCCCAAATGTTTTGTATTGAGGTGAAACCTGGGTTGCACGTAAGCCACACCATTGTTTTGATGACGTGAAATAATAACTAGCATTTTGTTGGATACGAATTATGAAGTAAGGCAATATCATGCCGGTAAATTGATTCAAGATGACCGTTCGATGCCACTGCTAGTATAAATTGCCGCTACAATGCAAGAATATATGCATCAGAATCCTGCACCTCACACAGCGTAGCGAGTTTGGTCAGGTCGTTGCCTGATAAAGCAACCCGTACCACCGCGGAGTTTCAATCGCTAATCGGATTAATGAAATACAGCTCTTTCCACACATCCTATAAGTAGTTCCATGAATGCAGCCCATCTAAATTAAATTTCATTTTGTCGCTAGATTAGACGAGATTGCATTCATCTCTCTAAGTTCCATGAGTTTCAGTTCGAAAGAAAATTCTCTCCGTTTGTAAAGTTGTTAGAGATATGTGTCTACTCATTTTATTGTACTTCGTCTAAGGGATGTTTTCTAGTATTCGTTGTACCATTCTCATTGAAACTTCCAAATCAAGCATCGTTCGCATCTTCGACGCATGAATTACGGAGTTGAAGGCCATACAGAGGATTCAACTTTTACCGTTCCCCGGGAGGTTGTTTCAGTTTTTCAGTTTTTACAACCATTAACAATGCACTTTCGTGTGCCTGTTTTGGCTACCGTCTTTTGGCCGCCCATTTAGATAAAAGGGCATAACGAAGACTGGAATGCTGGGAGCAAATCCGAGGGGAACATAGAGGATTCATATAGACTGAGGTTGCAAGAACATTGAGCAGATACACAAGCGCCACTGTTTGCCACACATATCGCTCAGTGTCTCTAACTATCGGTGACCCTGATCTAGGGGTCCCCATTCAGGGAGCCTAACGGGACCTATGTGACCCAGATTCCTGGTTAGGGTTTTCATATCCTCCTGCCAGGTCTTCGTTTGACCGCCCTTGACCTTTCTCCATCCGATGACTACCTGCGCGAACATCACTTGCAACCTGGCAACCTATTTTGTGAAATGCGTAACACATGTCCCAACCAACGTAATCTATGAAGGTCGACCACTTGCTCCGGAAGACGACTGCGATTACCTAGCCTCCGCATTGCTAGTCCGGTTGCCCCACCAGACTCATGCAGTGCGACGTACACAGCTGTGTCTGAACGCCGACAGTCTGTTTTTATCCTGTTCCCGTAATGGCTAAGTCTCTGCGCCATATGCCAGTGCTGGCCGAACTGCTGCAGCATATACTCGACCCTTCACGGACAACTGGATGTCACGACGGCGCCACAGATGTCTCAAGTAGGCAAATGACAACCCAGCCTTCTGTATGCGAGCTGACACTTTATCCGTGATGCCTCCACCGGGTGAGATGTAGCTGCCCAAGTAATAAAACTTGTACACCTGTTCTATTACTTCTCCAGCTCGAGTGAGGCTGGGTATTGGATCAACTCAGTCTTGTAGCAGCATTTTACGATTTGAAGGTGCACTAGCACTCAAGCTACCCAGAAAAGCTTGCGACGGATTTCTCGTTATCGGTAAGCCCCTTCAATTACCCCGTGGTTGGCAATGGTTTGTACTGTACTGTCTTGTATTGTTTTGTAATGACTTGTGCAGATAAATATGCCTACAAATATGGTCATCTTGACAATTGGATACATATATCTATTTGCACAGCAGATCGGGCCACACAAACTGAAATTTTCAGTTAGTTTTATTTTAAAAACAACCGCTCCCCAGACAAATCGTTCATGGATGAGTTCGGTAGCAAGTTATTGCAATTAGATATTATTAGATTGTAAAAAATGACTTCATCACTTTTCTCGTCTAGATGAATCAAGTTTTCTTTCCGAATGCACATTCAAAATGTCTAGAGAGCAAGACTCACGAAAGGTATCCTGGTGTCACGTAGCAGATCGTTTGAATGGCCGAGTCTCATTTGAGCCTTTAGAGCACAGCGCCACAGTCGAATAACTTCAAAAAGGAACAACCCAGTCGCGCTGACCGATTCACAGTTAGATCGGTTTAAAACCTATTCCGGATCAGAAAAACAGATGGAGAGATCCTAAATAATTAGTGAGATGAAGGGAAACACTTTTTGACATTGATACAAAAGACGGTCAAAACAGCCAATCGTTAGTCAATTAATAAAGCCATATAAAAAAATATTGCCGATTGACCAATAAGAGAACTTCTCTACGTTTTATTATGTGAGTTTCAAGTTTCAGATTATCGGTTAATCACGAAAGACCGCCTAGTAAACAAAGCACTAGCAGAGCCAAGAAACCCTCTCGAAAGCCTTAAGTAACGCACCTAAAGAAGTCCCCATCTAAATGCTATGATCAGGTTTCAGCGTTTGATTTATGCCTCGTTGTCTTGTACGTTACAACAGTGAATTCAGGGTTTCGTTTGAGGTTCACAAAAATAAATATAAACATCCCACACTGGAGCAAGCTCCAAAAAAGCTTCAGGTACATAAACGAGTGAAAGATTTTTTCATTCCTCGAAAAAGGTTGTGCATTCCATTAAAATCCATTGACCTAATATCTGTGACGTCATACGCGACAGCTTCATTGTTCTGTATCCTAATCCACCTATCCCCTTCACTGTCATTGTTGTCGCGTTGGCACCATGCTTGTTTTCAAGCCGGTGGTAAATATATATATATATATATAAGCAACTAATCGATTTGCTAACCAACCGAGCGAACGATAAACCCGGCTGACGCACAGACGGCTTCCTTATGCTCAGTACTGTGGTAAGTGAATATAAAATTCCCATAACAGATCGAAAACGAATAAACAAATAAATATGTTGATCTTAGCTACGCAGTTTGATACAGTAATGAGGCGTGATTTTGGAACATGGCAAAATCGTTATTCGCGAACGGCAGCGAAGGATTTGAACAACTTCTGGAATTTTCCCATGAGACCATTCGAGGCGAACACATACCGAGTTTAACACCAATTTTATCCTTCGACGTTTCGAAGACAGCACCAAACTTTTCACACAGAACTTGCGATGCCTCATTCTGAGTGTTGGATACAGGTCAATGATACTGTGTTGATCTAAAGCTCCACGATAATACCAAAAAAGCCACATGTTGAAGTATCCGGACGGCCAATAAGAAGCCCACATTCAGGACCGAACAAACACGTATTGACTCATTCATAAATACTAAGGCTGGAAAAACAAATATATATATATATATCGTCTCCGAGAGACTCAGTAAAGTCGGGATGGGTATCTCGGGTCACCCTCTCTTGCCCTCGCGAAATGCTCCTCAATGTTCCTCAAAATCAGGTTTCGACCACGACCTACTACTATCAACGAAACAGAGGTGTCACTAGCAAATTCCATCGGAGTCAAATCAGCCTTCCGACTAGGTGGACCGACGGAAACGGGCAGTAATCGGCCTCTGAAGGTAGTGTTTGGCACTGTCCAGAAAGTCCGTCTCATCTTGCAAAGTGCGATGTGCCTCAAGGAGGATAAAGTCAGTTTTCTGCAGGATCTCGCTCCCGATTTATTCATTTATTTTCACACACGCCTGAGTTCAGACTGTGTGCCATACAAATCACAGTACAGTAGTCTTTATAACAGAAAAAAATCTGATTTGTTCGAGGGCACTATACTACCAGGCTGCCTAGGCCAAAGCAGGTGAACTTTTTCAGGGAGCATTCAGCTAACCAAAACGTGATCCGCAAGGCAGTGGGGCGGTGTATGAAAACGGCAACCCATTGATGGCCGGTGTCCAGCTCATCGGACCATACGCGGGGCAAGCGTCCNTGCCTCTTCTTGGTTTGTTTAGAATCAGAGTTTTCAGTCAACTCCCCTCGGTGAACTGTCAATGGCTCATTGACCCGGACATCACGACGAGATTGCACCTTGACGTGGTGTGATGGCTTGTGTTCCTCCATAACCCTGTGAGCTACATAGGATGGTTTCTCACAGCCGCAGATGCAATCGTGGAAGAAAGATCAATGGGTAGAAGCCAGATAAAGTTCAGACTCGCAAAGCCTGGCTTCGTTTGACTATCGACGCTAGCCCCTGGAGGTTACTCCAGTAAACAAACACGCCGTTTCGTTTTCTGAGTCAAAAGCTCCGGTCAGGGTTATCAAAGAAAAACCCCTTCGTCGGAGTAGGCTGCCGCAAAGTATGTCGAGCCTTAAAGTCTTAGGTACATATCCGGGGAAAATCCTTCCCATTTGCCTAGTTCTTCCTCCCAATCCCAAATCATCCCAGATGCCTCCTGTTAACGCCATCGATTGGATATTTCTGAGCGTTTTACTAGTAAGACCAAACAATCATAAGTTACAGTTACAAGTTTGAATTCCCACTTCACTTAACCGCATTCAATGTCCGCGTTCTCTGTCACATCGGTCAACGAGCTGTCTTATCTAGGACCTTTGAAACCTTCCATTTAGATACATGCTGTCTCCGAATGGCGCATACAAGACCCTACTTCAATCATCCCCCTCCGTTCTCCAGATCCAGTCTCATCCCCAC